CTGGAAACTTTATAAAGTCAAGATTGCATCTACAGTAACAGGACAGACACGTTTTACGAGGCAGGTGATTAGAATTTCTTCGAAAATTTCTACAAATACCTCTGGTAGTGGAGGCAATATTTGGTTACGAGTAAAACGAGGATGCAATGGAATCCTTGCCATAGTTGACATTATTAGTAACATTTATAACCAGTGTATGTTTTGATTTCTTACTCCTTTTCAATCCTTACTTTTCCTTTCAGTTACATGTATGTAAATATTTTTATTTTAACCTGTAAGTTGTTATTTACAGGTGCAGATGAGAAAAAAGCTAATACTTTGCTAGAGGTATAAATTATGTTTACTCTTTCTCAGCTGACAGTTTTAAAAGTTGGGTTTGTTTTTTGGGTTTTTTTTTTTCCCAATGTTTGCTGTGTTTATCAAATTTGGAAAGGATCTGCAGAAAGCAGTGAGAGACCTAGTCCTGAAAATGTCTGAAAGGCTCGTGAAAGAAGGTGTTGACTTTTCTAAAGAGAACTCAACACATCCAGTAAGTTTAAAGCACGGTGTGGTAGAGCGAGTACTGGTGAACGAAAGTTTCTGAAGAATGATTTCACAATAGTTTGTTCTTAGTTGCTGGGCATGATAAACATCTATAACTGAAAAATAAATTGTGTGCTGATCATATACGCAACGAAAGCTGCATCGCTTATTCTGTCTGGAGATTCTACTGTGCTTTGGAACACGCAAACCAAATAGAAGAAGAAGGAGAACATAAAAAAAAAATTGAAGATATATACCAAAGGGTTAATGAGGTTCGAATCTATGGTTTCTGTGCTGGAAGTTGTGCAAAATTTCCGCACTGATTTTGTAAGGTAGGAGATATTTTGCAAAGCGATGGTATCTTTGTAAGCAAATATTCTATTGCAAACAGGTAGATGGCTGGTATATTTTGTAGCTAAATTGTGATCTTTGCAAATTCTGAAATTGAGTTTATATACGTATTTTGACAGTTTCTATATTTCATTTTAGTAAACAAATGAAATATTTTGTGAACCAGATTTTCAAGCATATATTTTTATGGATAGTACAAAGTCAAATGAGATCCTCTTTGGTGTAGGAGATATTTGAATTAATTTTGTATGTCTGTAGACAACTTGCAAAAAAAAACCAAAAAAAAGGATCCTAAAGAGTATTGGGAAAAAAAAAGAAAAAAAAGAAAAAAAAAAGATCAGGGCTTTTTATTCCCCCCCAGTTGACAATATCTGCACATGCAATCTGATCGCTATCAGAGATTCTAGTTTGTATGATTTTGATTTGTTTCAGGGGAAAATTAACTGTGTGACATGATCAGGACTCTTTTGGGTGTGGCATCTCCGTTCTTGGAGATGCTCAAAAGCCGTCTGGCCGTGGTCCTGGGCAGCCTGCTCTGGGTGACCCCCCCTGGGCAGGGGACTGGGCGAGGTGACCCCCAGGGGTCCCGTCCAGCCCCGACCACTCTGTGATTCTGTGAAATAGAACCATGTGTCTGCAGTGCTTCTTGCATGAGTAATAATTACACTATTTGCCGTAGTTAGGATCGAATCCTGCTTCCAGTTATGTCAGCGGGACGTGCACTATGGACTACGCTGTTAACAGGTGTTCGAGCTCCGTGTGTGTGTTGTGTAGCTCAGATCTGAATGAATTCAAAGCCGTACTCACTCCCTAGATGTGTAATGCTTATCATACGGTCAGTCGGTATGTTTTATTTTACTCCTTTTTGAATTAATGGACTTCTTAGCAAGCAGAGCTCTTTGCAAACAGTATGAGAAAGACTGCATTCCACAATCACCTTGTTAGTAGGCTATAAAAATATATTTTTTTCTAAAGTTTCTAAAGAAATTATTATTACGGACGTGATCCGCGATTTCCTTTAGGCCAAACCGGAGTACACGTTTGTGTTTGCGATCATGTCAAAAAAGAGTGCTTCTGTTGCACATCCAAAACAGCGAGCGAGGCTGAGAAAGGCGTTCCGTTAGGGAACGGCTCCAGAAGAGGTGTTTGATGCCTCCTCCTCTTCCTGTTAGTGGAATTTCAGGAAAAATGAACACCTGGGAACGCACCTCAGAGAATTTGGACCTTTTTCGCTCTCTCCCATCAGGTGTGTGTACGCTGTTGGCAGGTGTGGAAGAGGGTTTGACCTACAGTGCTGAACTAATTTGGTAACTCCTCTGTATGGTGTTTTGATCCTCACTGTGTGCTGATGTTCCTTTACCTTCTTTTGTCATACGGAATAATAATTATAATAATAATAAAAAAAGCTACCGAGTGTTAAGACTGTACAAAAAATGGTGGCCAATTCTTTCTGTATTCAGCAAGTGAAACAAATGTAGTGCTGCCAGAAATAACGTTAGTAAATTTTTATCCTCTTAAAATAGTGTTTTGTAAAGAGCAGCTTATTTTTCATCATGGAAATATTAAACAGTAACATGAGTTTGCTCTTTAAGTAATCACTTATCATGAAGTACTTATTTTGGATTTACTTCAAAAATCTAGATTGTAAGAGAATAAAATCTATATCCTGCGAGTAAGAGAGACAGTACCTAATCCTGTTCTGCTGGTTATTTCCAAACAGAAGTACATGCTTTCTATGAATTGTAAATATTTGTCGGAACAATTAGATGGTTGCAAATTTTGACCTTGGTAAATAAAGTCGCCGAAATAGAATTCTGATGTTCCTTATTTATTTGTAATTAACACAGTACTGCAGTGGTTCTGACAAAGTGTATAGATGTTGTGTGGTGTCAGGTCTTTTACAGGGGCCCGGAATAAATATTCAGTCTGTGAAACAGCACCCAGAGATCTTTTATCTGATGTGTCCTCTCAGCAGTCAGGGTACCAAGTTATTTGTACATCAGTTTTAGTCATCCCTAAAAAGAATTAGTGGATAATGCCTTTTCTCTTTCTGCAGGTTTTTTTTCTTTTTAGTTTTCAGTAAGCTGAGCCACTGTTAAGACATTTTGTGCTCTGCTCGTATTCACCCGGCAGAGGGAGTCTCTCTGCTGTCCACAAAACCGTGGTGGTGTTCTCCAGTAGTACCTCAGCTGCTGATGGCTGGAAAAGTGTAGAAACAGGGCAGGAAAAAAGTCTTTGCGGTTGGTAACATTTCTCTGTTCGATTTCATCATTAGGGTCAAGGCTGTTACCATTTCCTCTGCTGTCAGTATGGCTCTCAAAAGGCAGAAAACAAACAAAAACCCCCCACAATTGCAAAAATGACTTCTAAAAAACAAGTGAGTGTCCTTTGGCTTTTAGATTTACTCTGGAACAGGAGTGAGCTCTCTTGTCAAAGTTCTAACAGGCCTCTGGGATGATGACACAATGGTTCGTCCCTTTGGAAAGGCTACAGAAGGACCATAGCCATCACAGTCAGAACGATGGCGAGTGGAGTGCTCCTGGGACTCACAGCCTTGCTTCTCAACAGCAGTTCATACTCTATCCATGTTCTGTATTCTGATAAACGGACGTAGATCCCAGGAAATCGTGGTCGGCCACAGCCAATTCCAAAACTAGCAATCCCTACGAGATAGTACGTGTTGGTGTAAGGGAGGTAGCACGCTAAAGGTCCACCGCTGTCTCCCTGTAAACAAACAATATAAAAACCAAATAGCATGTGTTCCCTTCCAGGGAACCGTGTAGAGTTCAGTCAGAAATGCATCCACTCGTTTTGGTTTTTTGGGTTTTTTTACTTTTTTCAGTCAGCTAAGTTAACTGGACAGTAATAACGACAGGCATACGTGGACAGGCAGGATGCTGGTGTGCTTCATACGCGACATACGAACAGTGATGCGTGTGTGTATCCATAGGTGTTTGTGTAACGTGGCATCACGTATCGACATCTTTGTGGCAAGTGCTGTATGAAATGTTTGTGATCTTTCTCCTTTAAGCTATTATCATCTTCCAAGTACCACTGAATGCTTTGTGTACATTTCTGAGATGTGTTTTTCCTTTGGAGTCACTGTCTTGCCTCTTTCTATCTGTGATGCTCCTTTTGTAGTGTGGCACGTTTTCTGTTCAGTATTTGTGCCGTTTGAATTCGTTATGCTGCAACTGCTGGTCATCATGGTGCCCCCAGACTCTGCCTCGGTGGTTTCTGTAGCGGCAGGTCGGGCACGACGCTGGTTCTTACCTGGCAGGTATCGGTGCCTCCTGAGAGAGAGCCAGCACAGATCATGTTGTCGTTAATCAAACCTCCGTACGCGTAAGAACTGTTACAGATGCTAGAGGGGATGATTTCCACTCGTGCTTCTTTTAACACAGCCGAAGCTTTACCTTTAGTGGAAGACAGCATATAGAAAGGTAAAATATTTATGCTGTTGTGTGTAGCAGTTCTTATTGTGCTTTATTTTCCCTCTTTAGCTAGCTTAAGCGTGTTTCTGTAGGTGTTTAGACGTGTATGTGATGTAGAGATTGTGCCTACTTCTGATGGATTTAAACTCCAGTGGGTTAAGGATTTGCAGACGAAGATTTGATGTAGTTTGTGCAATTCTTATTCTGGAGAAATAGTGATGATAACAATACTGCTCACTAGCCTCGCTCAAAATGTCAGAGGTGACTTATCAAGCTTACACGATCCCCAGCTGTCTTTGAAATTTCCTCACAAGAAAGATGCAGACCACCAACTGGCATTCGTGTCGAGTTAGCGCTCATTGTGATGAAAGAGAGAATTTGAGGGAGCGCAGCCATTCAGAAAATACATGGGCACCCCTAAGTTCACAGTACATGTCACCAGAATTGTTGTTTTTCAATAAAAAAGTTCTTTCTAGCAGACAACACTGAATCTGAAAGTCAGGCTGGTTTATTTTCCTTTCTTTGTGTTTTACTTGGAAGAAAAGCTAGAAAATGTATGCCTTTGGTTACATCTGCGTAGATCCAATCTGCTTGCAATGGAAAAAACACTGAAAGCAGATATTCAGTTGCGGGATTTAATGATGTTGTGTGATGAGACTAGAACCTGAACAAATTCAGTTCTCCCTCTGTGAGTTTGAGGGACTGGAACCCGATATTAGGCATGTAGCTTATAACCTGATCAACTGCACGAGTAAATGTTTACCTTTTTCTTTTGTACGTCCCCAGCCGCTGATGAAGCACTCCGTTTCGTTGTACATGAACGGGAGAAGGTGAGCGGGAGGTAAGCAGATGGGCTGGATATAGTCATTGTAGCGTACTGCGGAGTCGAGTTCAAATAGCGCGATATCGTTTTCAAATGTGTCTGCCTTGAATTCTGGGTGCACAGCGATGCTTCTAATCTTTCTTTGTGCTGCGTGTTTCTGTGGTTTCCAAAGGTTATGCACACCCAGAACAGCTCTCCAGGAATATCGGTTCCTAAGAGAGAATTCACGTATTTTTTACCATTATGGTAAATACATTTCTTGATGGCCTGTTTTAACTGATTGTTTTACTGTTGCCTTATACACCTGTGCTTCTACCTAGATTTGGGAAATCCACTAACTAGAAGTTACAAATAACGAATATCAACTTAATATTAAATTTAGAAATAGGGACGGAGTCCTTCAGACCTAATTTCTATTCAAGTATGTTGAAAAAAATCTTCACTGATATTGAGAATTGAATTTGGCCTCTGATGAGCAAAGGGCAGGCGTAAAATTCAAATTAACCTCCAAAATTCTGGAGAGTGTAAGATAAAAATTAAATTGATTGATTGTGATATAATGCCTCTCTAAATTAATGTTTGTAAAAGTGCATTTAAAGAAAGAAGGACCTGATCTAACAAAGTCCTGATAAATGATAAAATGGCAAAGTTCAGAGATGTCTACCGTTTGCTTTCCCTCAGGTCATGGTTATGTCAGAACAATCGATAGGAACTTGCATGATCTAGTGTGCAGATGATGCTTCCAATCTAAATATTGCAACATTTTCTTTTTGCTGTGAGCTTTACTAGTTTATAAAAATCTATTAATCAGAAAAAGTAGAGCTCAATTTAAAAAAAAAAAAGCCTCCAACCTAACAAAAATGTCACCTAGATCAAAAACAAATGACCCTTTATTAATAATAACAAAGGCTGTTCTGGGCCAAGCCAGAAATGTGCGTCCAAGACTTCTTGATGTCGACTTATAAAGATGTAACTTTGCATCCTGTGCTGTCACCACACACGACCATTACAGCAAAGGGGACGAAGGGGACAAATCTTTGGTCCTTCGAGTCCCTCCTAGGGGCTGTATCAGTAAGCAGGAGTTGCATAGTTTGGATCTGCACGTTGGTTCTGCTCCACGAGAGCTCGGTCCCTGCGTGTCCCGTTGATTTCCCTTTTGTTCAAATAACACCGGTGACACTTTGCTGATCTACGGCTTAACAGAGCGATCAGCGTGAGTACGTACGTCCTTCCCGTGAGGCAGTGGGCAGCTGTAAGCACCGCGTTGGCATTCACCAGCACTCCGCCGCACACGTGGACGTAGCGAGCGCCGGGCTGGCGGAGCTGGAGGCTGACGGACCAGGGCCAGGCACCGCTCGGAGCGTCCTGTCCCCCCACGATCCGTGATCCTGCGGCGATGCCCGAGAGTGGCCGCTGGGCGCCGCTGGCCACAGGCTGCAAAAAGAACAGAGCCAGTTCCACTGTTCAAAATGAAGAATAGGAGCTTTTGGCGCACTAGCAGCCCTTTGGGGGTGGGTTGGTTTGTTAATCTAGAGTGTTCTTTGCTGCAGGACTTTGGATGGAGGGGCTGGAGCACCTCCCCTATGAGGA